GAAAGTCCCAAAAGAGGATATTAGTTAAATAAATTATGATAATGCCAACGTTAAAATGACATCATAGAAGAATATTTAATGACATGATTCATAATATGAAGTGATGCAAGCAGGTTACAGAGCAGTATAATCCAATTTTTGCACATATAAAAAATGACTGGAAGGACATCCACCATGTGTTATTATTATTATTGGTTACCTCTAGGTGGTGAAATTGTGGGGGAATTCTTTCTTTCATTTTTAGTTTCTGATTTATGTTATTTAAATTTTCTGTACTGTTCAGGTGATTGCAAAGGAAACAATAAAAGGAATATTTTAAAGAAATATTAGCTCTATTTCCAGTGTTTTCTTACTTTCTTATGATAAGCATTGTCCAATTTCTTTCAGTCCACTTCCTTTGCTCTTTGGAGCTGGTGTGGCATCAGACCAAGGCTATCTCTTTGAATTCTGAGCTCTATTATATAGTCTGTGATGTATCCACCATGCTTGAATGTTTAATAGCTATTGGGAGATGATACCAAAAAAAAAAAAAAAAAAAAAAAAAAAAAAAAAAAAAAAAAAAAAAAAAAAAAAAAAAAGAAAGCTTTGTTATATTTCCACTTAGAAATGTCATTCTGAGTTTGTAAAAAGATGTAGATATTTTAGCTTAGAATTGAATGCATGCATCAGGGTTAATTAGCAATGCTTCAAATTATAGACCACTGCTGTTTCTTGTACAACTAACCATCAATTAGCTATGCTAATGAGAAAAGCAGGAAATGATTGCAGGAGAAAATAAAATCAGTAGAAAGAATAGAAAAACAATGGATTTTAGTCCCTGGTTTCATCCATCAATTGTCAAAACCAGAATGACTTACAAGTATAAATTCTAATCTCTTTTTGAAAGAGATGGGTATTAATAAAAAAGTAATGTTAATTTTTTAGAAGTCTTTTCCTTTTCCAGATTTTCCTTCAGAGAAGCCATACCCAAATAATAAAATGAGCAAAATAGGAGCAGCAGGAAACTTGGAAACAAAAGGCAAGTCAGGACTCTAATTCCCCCTAATAATCCCCAAAGGAACTTTAAAAAATAATCAATGTAGCTGGCTCACTCTAGGCCATTTAAAATCAGAATCTCTGTGGAAGCAGCTAAATTAGCCTGTAAGCCACATAATGTTATCTCAGATTGATTCTAGCTGCTTTGTGAGTATTCACTTTACTCTGAGTTCTCTGGTTGGACAGTAAAAGTCTTGGGTAAATCACCTCTGGTCCTTCTATCCCCACCCCCATTACTCCCTCCCCAGGTAGGAGAACCTTTCCAGGGAGACAGACTTAAAGATGTCTGCTGCTGATCCAGTATCTTTAAATACCTTTCTCATAAGTCTCTTCTCTGTCAAGGGTTTGAATGATTTTCCCAAAAGGAAATCTCCTGTCTATCTGGAAGTGCAAGGTACCCGAACATTATCTATCCAGTGCCATGATAAATATTTGGATACAATGAAAACAGAAAATAAATATTTGAATGGAAATTTCAGAGATCCCTGATGCCTGGAAATTGTTTCCATTTGTTCTCCAGTCCTGAGAAGAACAGCAATCTTTGTAGCTGTACTTTTCTTCTTTTCCTAGTTTTCACTTTTGCAACTTTAAAATATTTAGTTTGTATTATATGCTTACTGTAGAAAGTTTTAAAATAAAAGAATTACAAATAACAAAATTAAAATCACCCATGAGCCTCCCTCTTTCCCATTCCAGAGATAAATATAATAATATTATTAGTGTATATGCTTTCATTTTTTTTTATGTGTAGAAACATTATTCTATTTTCCAGAATTGGGTCATACTATTTGTACACTTCTGTAATTTGTTTTTTTAACCTTTTTTTTTTTTGTCTTTTTCATGACCGGTGAGGGGATCGCAACCCTTGGTGTGGTGTCGCCCACACCACGCTCAGCCGGCCATCCCTATATAGGATCCGAACCCACGGCAGGAGCGTTGCTGCGCTCCCAGCGCTGCACTCTCCTGAGTGCGCCATGGGCTCGGCCCTGTTTTTTAACCTTAACCTTATGTTCTGTGAATTTTTCTGTGTCATCAGGCTTCAAAATCAAGATTTCTGTGTACACAGCAAAGCCTGTCATAGAGATTTATCACCATTTATCTAGTCATCCCTCTTCATTAGATCTTAATTATTACTTCTGACATTTGCCTTGTTTTTCCTTTCCCACTATTTATCAGAAAACGAGATCAGTCATTGACCCGGTGAGTTCATACAGATTACTCTTCCTGACTGATGTCTGCATTGTATCCAGTAACTTCCCAGGGCCACATATGATAACCAAGGATACTGAGCTCTTTTTCCTCTCTTCCTGCTATTCTCTTCATCAGGTTTTGTACCCAGGACTTTGCCCACCAGTGATGATATTGTTTTTCCTCTTTGAAGCTAAGCCACCCTTCCCAAAAATCCTGAGGTTTATTTCACCATCTTCCAAATATGTATGTATGGAAGATTCATCATTTTAGTTGCTAATTTACATTGAGTACTTACTGTGTGCATAGTGCTGAGAGGTTTACATAATATATTTTTTTAATTTAACCTTATAACAACAACATAAGACAAATGTTACTGTTATTCCCATTTTACGGGCAAAGAAAATGCGGCTTCTTTTGAGTGACTTGCCCAATATCACACGGTTAGTAAGAGAAAAAGCTGGGCCCCAAACCTACAGCTGTTTTCTTCTCAACCATTTTTTTCATTATTATTAACTGAAGTCCATGTTTATTCAAATTTTCAAATTTTTTACCTAATGTCCTTTTTTTGTTTGTTTATTTTGTTTTGTTGCAGAATCCCATCCAAGATAAAACATTACACTTAATTGTTATGTCTCATTAGACTCCTCTTGGTTATGACAGTTCTCAGACTTGCCTTGTTTTCTCAAAACCATTTTTCTATTTTACAATATAGTTACCCCTTATCACCTACAATGCTATAGCAGCTATAATTCATTCTGCATTGCTATGGGTGGCTCTGATCCTCATGGCAGCCCTTCATTGCAGATATTATAATCCTCATTTTATAGATTAAAAAACTGAGGCTCATTTCACTCAACATAAGTTTCTCCAGGCTCATCCATGTTGTTGCAAATGGGAGTATTTCATTCTTTTTTATGGCAGAGTAGTGTTCCATGGTGTATATATATATATGACAGTTTCCTTATCCAGTCATCCATCAGTGGACATTTAGGTTGGCTCCATGTCTTGGCTACTGTAAACAGAGCTGTGATGAGCATGGGAGTGCAGGTATCCCCTCGACATGATGATTTCCATTCCTCTGGGTATATA